AAAAGTAGTAACTCCTATAATACGACCGAATATGTAAAGAATTCCTAGAAGAATGGGTAGATCTCTTATATGCACTTTTAGAATAACTAATAAAATCTTCGTACAGATTTGGAAATTCTTCCACGAATACCGAATTTAGTATTACTCATACTTCCTTTCGAAATCCTATTAGAATTCGAGATCGAAACTGCACTTATCCATCTTCTTTTTCTAAACTCTAATGAGCTTTGTGAGTGAAATTATGCCTATCTATCTATCCTTTCATAAACCTCAGTGGGTTTTATGACTGAAATTATACGCGTCTATCTTTTCTTTTATAAACTCGAACGGGTATCATGAGTAAGATTGTACCCATGTATCTATCTTTTCATAAATCCTAATGGGTATTATGAGTAGAATTGTACCCATGTATATACCTTTTCATGAATCCAAATGGGTTTTATCATAGGTAGATGCCTGTCAATATATGTTCTCATGTACTCAAGGTAATGTTGATGGAAATTAAAAAAAACCGTTTATATACCCTTTTCCACATTCATTCTAAGGTATATGTATTGCAAATACCCTTCTATAAAATCCATTGGGAAACTTTATGAATGGGTTTATGTCTTAGATAAACGTTTTTTAAGGTTTATGAAAATGCAACGTATAACAATCCCTTAAAGCGTTGATGAAAGTTATGAATCGTTTTATAAACCTATAGTTACCCGTAGATGATTATGATAAACCGTTCCATATACTCTTTTTTGGAGGTATTGTATAGGGTTTACAATGCTCTCATAAACGGCAGACAAGGGTTTGATATACGTTGCACTTTTATAAACCTTTTAAAGGTTTATTATTGTGCGGAGTTTTTTTTTCAGTGAATCCTCACACCCCGCTTTAAATATTGTGTGAAATTAGATATTGTATATATGGTTTGTCTTTCTGATAGGTCATTCATAACAATGCTTCATGCCACTTGATAAGATTCTTTGCAACTTCAAAATACCTCTAGGTTATATTGATAGCTATACTCACCCTCGAGAGATTTTACTTTAGATGTGATGTTTAAATCGATCTGAGATTGAACGCTGAAATATACATTAGAGAACAAAGAGAAGGAACAGAGACATACACACAATTAGAACAGAAAAGAAAAGACAAAAAAAGAATTGTTAGAACATTCCATAACACTAATGTATGCATATGAAGAAAGAAACAAGGGTGTGTGAAGGCTGAATCCGTAACAGCTATTTTCTGTACTCAAACATTGATATTGATGTATCAGTTTCTTCATAGTCTTCCTTATCCCAAAAATTAGGATCGCCACAATTACGATAGTTATGTAAATTTCGTACATATACATCAAGTATATCGCTACTGAGAGCATCATATGTAGCATATGATTGTGGATATTTTCTTAGTCCTTGGCGAATAGCTCTTTCACATGGTAAAATCTGATTTATATCCGAATAGATGAGCATAGGATAAAGACCATCAATACACCAACTTTTCGTGTAATTTAATAATTCTACCACGAAAACGTATTTATCAGCAAGATTACGAAGTAAGCGACCATCGCAAATATAAATGCCTTCATGTGTTGGATCGAATGATTTTAAGTTGTTTTGGCATTGTCTTGTAAGACGAGTTCTATTATCTCGGATGAAATTGTGACAATCGGTTCTTCCTAACATGGCTTGATGACCATTTCGTATGTCGAA